GTGTATTCACCAAAGGCCCTCTTTCCTGGCTTCCAGTTCAATGCCATGTTTGTCCATGTTAAGGTTAGAGCATTATCTTTGGGAAAAGACAGCTTCAAATCTCTTGTTGGTATTTGCTAAATGACTTGAAATGCAGGAGCTGAAAGATTATTACTTGGTTCTGTGACAATTTTAGGTAGGTAGGTAAATGGGAGATTTAATCAGTCAACTGCACATTACCAACAGCAACTGATTAGATGCAAAACTCATAATGTGTCTTTGTTTTCTGACTAAACACTAATTACTGAATTTTAGGCATAATTTGGAGATCTTGTAGGCTGAGCATGTAAATTAATGTTTTAACTTCACTTACATCACTTTGGTTATTAATGTAATTTAGAATGAAAATTTAATTGATATAAATGAAGCATGCAGGCCATCGAATGCCTTAAAGTACATACCCACAGACATTACTAGTATCATAAATATCCACAGTGATAAGTTGAGATTTTCAAAACTGACTAGGTGATGTAGGCACACAATTCCTATTTAAATGAGTGGAGTTTTGTGGTTGAATCACCTATTCATCTTTGAAAAAAATCTCAACTCACTTCTGTTTAATTGCAAATATTCCAGTAAAGGACCCTTTGTGAAGGAAACTAAGACTACAGCAAAACAAGAAATGAATAACTTTCTTATTTTGCCTAGTATGAAAAGAAATCTCTCTCTTTTTTTTAAGACAGTTGTGTGGCTCAGTAAGAATCCCAGGCAGAACAAAATAATTCAAATTATTGTTTATTTGCACAGCCAAATAAAGATCAAATAATGTACACAAGGTTATGCCTAAGTAAATAACATTAAGGCCACTCTCCAGTCCTTCCAGCCCTGAAGAGTTTTTAGTGCATCAAGAAATCCGGATCAGTTTTTTTTTTTTTTTTTTTTTTAATAAAAGCAAGGAAACGCAAGCCTAAAGGCAAAAACTGCTCTTTGTGAGCCCTGAAATATAAGCGGTCCACCCCTTCAATTTGTAAACAGGAAGAAAGAAATAAAGAGGGGAACCCCTAGCATTCTCCTTTGCCTCCACAGGTAGATTTTTTTCAGGGATGTTTGGAGATGGGCAAATTTGTGCAAGGATTCTGGATGTTCTTTCTTCACGGCAACCACACACCTAACTCCTTTTTGGAGACTCATGGAGGTAATTGCTGTGTTTAGGGCTCAGAGGAAAGATCATGAAAGTTGCTTCCTGGGGCAGGGAATGTAAATATCCCAGCTATTCGCAGCACTAACCACTATGCAGAAGTGCAGCTGTTGGCAAGATTAGGCCTCTGGATGGCATTTTTAAAACATATTTGAACAGTTTGTCAGGAAGGGACTCTATCTATTGACTTTGATTTTTATCTGCTTCGGTTTAACTATCCAATCTTCAGATACTTACTGATGCTCTGTCTCCCACCCTCTTCTGTTTTTCTTCCCTCCCCCCTCCCCTTCCTCTCTCCTATTTATTTCAGGTGTACACGTCCCAAACTCATAACTCCGGTCATCTGAAGAAGTGGGCTATGCCATCTACATGTTTTGTTAGTCTATAAAGTGCTACCAGACCATTTTTTTTACTGTAGAAAATTGGCCAAGATATTTGTTAAAACAAATTAAATAAAATGAATATTAAATGGACAAATGTTAAGAAACAATTACATCCAGCAGGATAAAAAATTGAAAAGAAAATAAGTGATGAAATAAGAAACAAAACACAAAAAGATGTTAATGGTAAAACTGGGTGGTTAAATGTTTTCTGCAGAAAATTTTGAATTTTTTTTCAAAATTTCCACAATGATGTATTCATTTTTTTTTTACAAAAATCCAATGTTATTTTTTACAAACTGAAGCATTTTCTATTTTTTTTCTGCCCTCCTGCCCACTCTTTTCCCGTTTGTACACCGTTTTCCAGAGGCAATGTTACAAAAATATTTTCTCTCGTTGAAAAACAAAACATTTTGACAGAAATGAAAAATTTCTGCTAAAAAAATAATTAGAAAAAATGCTCATTTGGACCAATTCTCATTACATTTTTTCTCCCACTGCTGTCCGTATTATAGTTGATTACCTTTTAAGAATTTGATCCTAGATTCTGTGATGGTAAAAGTATTAGGTCAGGGATCAGTGCTTTTAAATGTCTATAAAATACACAGGACATATTTTGGTGTTACGGTACATAAACAACTCACAATAGTGATAACAATACCTTTGCTCAGGTACACAGAAGAAATTACACCCATTCATAGATTCCATAAACAGAATTAGAAGTTAAAGAAGATGAGTAAAATGTATAAATATGTAACATAGTACAAACAAGAGCAATTTATCTTTGTGATCTGAGTTGACACAGTCAGTAATCAGACAGTCATATGTGCCTGGTTGTGCAGAGAGCTGAATGTTCCCAAATCCTGCATGTAAATTCTGCAGGAACCACATCTACAGTATTTTATATGATTTTGAAATGTTCTAGTCAGAGAATAACAGAAAACCTGAAAAAACAGAATCAGTGGTTTCATCAGCTATCAGACCATTTTTAGATGTGTTCAAAATCTGGAGCCAAACTTTATCATCTTCATTAAGATGGATAAATATAGATCCAGAAACCTGGCAGACATTATATGCAGCTTGTTTAACGGGTCTTACACTCGACATTTGCGGAATTATTTTATCATTGTGGAAAAGTGCACCCCTCAGTGATTTGCTGGAAATACTCATGTGCTAACTAAAAGAGTAGATACCTCCAGTGCTGGCTACAAACATACCTGACTCAACATTATATGCTTTATTTTCATTAAGGAAAGTTTTATCAAATCTCACTGGAGACCCTGGTAGTGGAGAGCTGTTTCTTTTCTGAGGACCTACGGAGAAAGCTGTGATGTCACTTTCTTTGCAGTCTCCCTTTTGTCCTTTTTCTCCTTTTCGTCCTGGAACTCCAGATGGCCCATGTTTTCCAGGATGACCCATTTTTCCAGGATCTCTTTTAGGACCTGGAACCCCTTGGATTCCTGGTGACCCTGCATATCCCCTTTGGCCCCCTCTTACCTGTTTGCCCTCTTTCCCCTCCATTCCCCTTTTCTCCTAGACTCCTACTCAGTCCAACGTCATCTTTAAGACCCAATTTTCCACACTCCCCTTTGTCTCCCTTAAAACCCCGAGGACCTCTACGACCAGTGCTTCCAGCATCACCTTTATCACCATTATTCATGTTTGGACAGGAAGCAAACCCACCTTGTTCTCCTTTCTGACCAGGCAGCTCTGGTTTACCTAGATGACCTTTGGGTCCTTGATTACTCTTTTCTCCTTTTAGTCTTTGTTGTCCAGTTTTTCCCAAGGGCCCTTGTACTCCTTTCTTCCCTGGGTTACCTACAAGGAAAACAGCTGTATTTCAGATATTACCATCTGTCAAGTGTGAAATATCTCACACAAACATAAAATAACACATATCAGAATGTTCACTTGACATTTGTATTTCATAATGGTCATTCTATACTGGGTGGCTGTGTCTAGACTGGCCAGCTGTCTACACTGCCAGCTGTCTACACTGGCTGCTTGAATTTCTGCAAGAACACTGACTTCCTACTGTCTGAAATCAGTGCTTCTTGCGGAAATACTATGCTGCTCCCATTCAGGCAAAAGTCCTTTTGCACAAAACTTTTGCGCAAAAGGACCAGTGTAGGCAGCTCAGATTTGTTTTGCACAAAAAAGCCCCGATTGCCATTTTCGCGATCCGGGCTTTTTTGCGGAAAAGCGCGTCTAGATTGGCACGGACGCTTTTCCACAAAAAGTGCTTTTGCAGAAAAGCGTCCATGCCAATCTAGATGTTCTTTTCCGCAAATGCTTTTAACGGAAAACTTTTCCATTAAAAGCATTTGCGGAAAATCATGCCAGTCTAGACATAGCCTGTGTGATTATAAAAAGTGAAACTGTAAGTTTCCTATGTAAAATATTTCCCATAAAAGCGAAACTGTAAGTTTCCTATGTAAAATATTTCCCATATGATTTTTTTTACAATAGACTAATATTTAAAAAAAATGAAAAGTCTTATCACCTCATGCTATTTATTTGTACATTACCTCGCCTTTAAAAAAATACAAAAAAAATTGTTAAATGAAGGGCATAATTTTAAAAGCACATATATGTGGTTTTTAAAGGTTCTGAAGACTAATTTTAAATTATGCAATTTAGACAGGGATCAAAGTTCAAATCTGGATCCAAACTTCTCCAGAATTTAAGAGTGCTGAATCCAGAAGTGTGGTTTGGAGCCATCTCTAGTCTGATACATTAATGTACCACTATATATTGGCATTTAGGAGTGGTCATCATGCCACCTAAAAAGAACACATACTTGAAGAGCTAGACAAATAAAGATGGTCAGCAATTCCATTCTAGAATCATTTTCAGGCTTTAATGACCTATATAGGATTTCATTCTAGGCCAGGGGTAGGCAAATACCAGCCCATAGTCTGGATCTGGTCTGCCAGGGTTAGCCACTGGCAGGCCCCCTCTGCTATATTTACATGTGCCTCTGGGGTTACTGGTAAATGCAGCTGCCATTGGCCATGGCTCACTGTTCCAGCCAATGGGAGCTGTGGGAAGCAGTGTCCTAGTCCATGCCACTTCCCTCCGCTCCCATTGTCCAGGAACAGTAATCCACAGCCACCAGGAGCTGCAATTGCTGGTATTGTTCGTGTGGAGTAATCTTTCAAAATAATTCCAAAGCATTTCTTGTTAGTTGCAATAAGGATAAATCCTCATTTTTGTGCTATCGTAATTTCTATATCAAGGAGAGAATAGAACCACGATAGAAACAGCACTGATATAAAAGAATATAACCAGATATTATCCTATATTGTGCCTATTTTTTTTCAAATTTGCTTAATAGCTCTTTAGTTGCTCCTGTGAATTCATTACAAGTGAAAATGTTCATACAGTAAAAGCTCCTTTATCCCACACTTAATTAGCTAGAAAACTCAATTAACCAATATTTCTGATATCTCCCAATACAAATCTTCAATTTAGTAACTGTGACTAGTACACAACCCAGCATGTTATGCAACTGCATATTCTACACTCTACTTTTATGCAAAATATGCAGACAACAAACAAGTAAGCAAGGTGAAATCAGTGATTTATTCAAAAAAAGCAGCTTCCAAGGTGTGTCATAGGATCATCACAGATTCAGCCTAACCTCCTACAACTTCCACATCTACAATGATGATTGATGTTGTTAATGGTGACTCTGAGGCACTGCAAGATCCTGAAGTACCTTCTGAATCATAGAACGGTTAAATTATGTTCTGTATGGTTTTAGTGTTAGTGTATTTTTAGCAAAATGCAGGACAATGTAGCACTTTAAAGTCCTCTGAACTGTCATTCATGTTAAAATTCGACACTTACCACCAGGGACTTAACAAGTCTTTGAACTTTCTCACCCATTATCAAGACAGTTTCCCCAATTATCACCTGTAATACCATTAACTCACAAACATCCCACTCTCCCTACCTCTAATATCATCAATTCACAGACACTTACCTTCCTTCCTCCCCCTTCCCACCCCCCCGCATCCTCCTTCTGTTCTGCAATGTGATTTGTCCTTTTCATATTTGTTCATTTTTTTAAATTGTATCCTTTGGTATATATGGTTGTGACTACTTTCTTCCACTATTTGATCTGAGGAAGTGGGTCTGGCCCACGAAAGCTCATCATCTAATAAACCATCTTGTTAGTCTTTAAAGTGCTACATTGTCCTGCATTTTGATTCAGCTACCCCAGACTAACACAGCTACATTTCTATCACAGTGTATTTTTAGTGATCTGTAATTTTTAGTGTATACAATGTGCTGGCCATAGTGATATGTTATGGCACAAAACATCCTACTGTACAGAAAATGATCTGTATATACCTCAGTGCTTCAAGAAACTAAACCACTCTGCAGTACAGTACTACTACGGGATTGGTGAGTACCTGCATACTATTTTATACTTTTCTCATTTTATGGTATTCTTAGAATGACCAGATGTCTCCGTTTTAAAGAGACAGTCTTATATGTAAGCCTCCCCACAGGTGTCCCTTCTTTTTTTTCAAAAGTAGGCCAATTGTCCCATATTTTTTCATCTCTCCCCTTCCATGAGGACTTGTGGGCCCTATTGCTGACTATATCTTTGCTTACTAGCTGCCCACCCACCAGAAGTGAGTGGGGGTTCCAGCAGCTGATGATGGGTGTGGGAATGCAAGGCTTGTGGTCAGGCTAAGCTGCAGTGTGCAGGTCTGGCCACTCCCACTGCTGGTCTATGAGTGCAGTCTCTACTGCATGAGGGCTCTTGGCCATCAAGCTCTCACCCCACCCCCTGTTTCCTGCCAGCACTGGCTGCTTGCTATGGTGGGTGGTGAATGTGAGCTGGCCCTGATGGGTTATGTGTCAGCCTGCTGCCCACCCATCAATCCTTTACGTGCTTCCCCTCTCACTAGCTTCCCCCTGCTGTGCCCGTTCAATTCTCCAGCCTCTCTGCTCCTCAATATCTCCCCAGCAGGGTGTGTCTCACTCCTGGAACTATGCAGAGAACGAACTGGTTGGTTCATTCAGCTCACCAATAGCAGACTTCTTTCTTCCCCCACTGCCTCTGGCAGGGCTGGCAACTGGGAAAGCACAAGACCCTATAACCCAGGTTGCTGATGTGGAGAAGCTAAGTCCTGCATGCGCAAAAGTCCCACATAGTGCTGGCATAGGGAAGCTTCTCCACCCCTCAAGCTAAGTTCTAGGTTGGTCGGAAGGAAGCTATTTCCACCCTGTTTGCACCCCAACCTTGCAGGCTCTGCAGCAGTCCCCCAGGCAAAGGCATAGAACCTTTTTCAAACGCTGCCTTCACCCTAGGTCCTGCCCTGAGGGCGTGCAGAGCTGCTCTGTGCCCTAGCACCCTCCTCTGCTCAGCTACGTCTTTGGATGGGTTTGCTGAACCCCCTGAAGACAGATTATCTGAACCCTGGTGTACTTAGGGCTTAAGTCCTTCCTGCCCACACAATGGCTAGGGAACAGGAGGTGGCTGGGTTATGTCAGTGGCCAGCAACATCTTGGAGGTATTAGCTGTCTTTTGACACTGTGCAGGCAGCAAGGCCACAAGCTGCTTCCAGCCACAGGGGAGTGAAGGGTGGGGGAAGAGATGACCACACCAATACATGGTCCAAGTCATCCCTTCCAACCACCCTCACCCTCCTGCAGTTGGAAGCAGCTCCCATCCTTTTCATTCTGCACAGTGTTGAAAGGCTGCTGCTGGCCACACTCTGGTGTGAACCCTTACGGAAATCGGGAGCCCTGTGACCCTGCATGCCTCCATGTGTTACCTCGAGAAGACATAGCACCAGGTACCAGGAGAGGTAGGTCAATCCCCGGGCCCAGCCAGGCATGGAGGGTAGAAAGCATTGGACAGAGAGGTTTGGTTCAGGTTGGTTAGTCACCCTCATCTGTCCGTCTGTCTGTCTGTGTGTGTGTGTGATTTCTCCCCATTCAAACCATAAAGATAAAAAGATATATTTAAAAAAATCTCCAGTTATGCAGTATCTTTTTTTTTTCACAAGGACTCAGTCGAATTGATGTTAATTTGAACATTGGTACTGCATAGTTCTTATTGATTGCATTGATTATGCTTGAATGAGTAATTTTACCAGATGTCCTGTATCGTGCATAGGAAATATGGTCATCCTATGTAGTCTCATTCTTTCAAATATGGTATTCCATCTAACTAGAATATCTTCAGTTAACCCCATATTTGCCTAATGTGCTGGATAACAGAGCTTTTACTGTAGACAGACATGTCCAAAAACTAGTTTAATAACTTCCTAAATATTTGTTTGCAAAAAACTAAAAGCTCTTCATGCTAGACATTTCAGTCTATTGAATCAAGAGCTCTTTTCTTGGAGAGTTCCTAAATAGATATTTAAAGTAGCAGTAAAGTGTGTTTATTTACGCACCAGACAGCAATAATTCCAAATGAGACTTTATGACTCATCATGCTGTATCTCATAAACTTCTAGGAAGGGTTACACTTTCCTTAGCTACCATTAACAATTCTAGGTGTGCTGTAAACTAACATACACACACCCCTGTGTGATCAGTAACATGGTGAGTTGTGGCATAAAAAGACCAGTTCAGTCAGGATGGTTTTCTGCTTTTCCCAAAGTGGTACAGATACAGAAAGAATAACAAATTAGCACACAACACGATGTGTGACATGTGATATAGTGACTAAGCACAATAGGACAAGGTGAGTTTTGTTTTGTTTATATTCTATAGTTTCATGCACGTTCATGGTTAGTTCATAAACAATTTGTCCAATTTAGAATTGCGCATAGAATCCAGATTTGTGGTTGCTCAGCATGATATCAATGCATCTGCTTTTACCTAAGAAATACATTAATTGAGCTCATTTGAAAGATGTAGCTGACCAAAGGGATTAAGTGATAAAATTACCTGGATACCCTTTTTCACCCTGTTCTCCCTTTTGTCCAGGGCTGTCACAGAAGCAGTGTTTTTCTGCTGCATTCCTGTTTTCCTTTGGTGTATTGATGGAGAAAGAAGCAAAATGATCATCAAATACAAAGCTTTCGTTAGAACTAAGTAAGGGGATTAAAATGGTATCATTTTCCTCCTTTCCTCTAGGATCATCTATTACCGAAAAAGTGTTCTCAGTGTTTGTGGTGGTAAATACTTCTGAAATGACTGGTTGTTTAGGGCCAATTGAAGTGGGCTTCGGCTCTTGAAGGTTAATGTTATTTTCCATTCCACCTGCCTCATTGTTAAAGAGAGAGGTTGCTGGGGATGTTACAGCACGCTGGGAACTTATTTGAGTTCTACCATCTGTGACTGGATCAGTTTCAGTTATCCCCAGGTCTGGATCACGGGGAACAGTAGAAGCTTGTTTCGGATCTTCAGTTTCAGCAGCACCATTGAGGGCATCCATTGTGACTAACTGGTTGGGAGCTAGACTGAAGATCGTTGTAGATACCACAGGACACCAGACGCTGCACAGCAGCGTCTGCGTCAGGAGTGTAGAAATCATTCCGGCAACAGTCAGAAAGCACGCTGTAAAATAAAATTACCAAACTACAGCCATGCTCTTACAAGAGAGAGGTCTGAATGGATAACCACGCATACGCTTGCATTAATCTAAACATAAAGTAATTAGAATGACAGTTTGTTATACAATGTCTGAGTGTATTTCAGTGAAGCAACTTTCACTACTGAGTCCTGCCATGGCCCCCAGTTATGTAGGACTTAATATGGGAGCATAAAGGCCAAAATGTACACGTTTTTTGTGTATTATAAGGAGGCAAAAAGAAAGGAAACCACACACAGGTGAAAGGGAGAGAGGGGTAAAAGTGCTAGTGTTGTGAAGAACTGTATGTAGCAGTCTTCACGCAGCACTGTTTTACCTAGTTAATACACACAAAGACAGAAAATCATAGAACATTAGAACTGGTTTGAGACCACTGCTCTCCCCTACTCCCCAATCCAGAAGCAATGAATGTGTCCAGGTTACAGAAATATCTTGGAGCTTCTTTCAAGTTTGGAAGTTTGGGTCTCTTCAGCTTCCTGGGAGCTTTTGTGGGTAGAACCAAAATGGGGTGCATAGATAACCACAGGTAACCAAGGCTCAAAATAAAAATACATAGACTTTGTCTACACTAGTGATTCCCAAACTTTTTGGCATCATGCCCCCCTTTTTGATTTTTGAAAAACCCTCACGGCCCCCCCTCCGGCCCCAAATAGCAGCAAAACTTGTTGAGCAAAAAAAGAAAGAGGAAAAAAGGAACTGAACAGGGCAGCAAAACTTAATGGGGGGGGGAGGCTGGGTCACCTCATGCCCCCCCTGGAATTTCTTCACACCCCCCAGTTTGGGAAACCCTGGTCTACACTATGCAGCTTTTAGCGACAAGGCTGTGTAGAGACAGCCATGTCACTAAAATTCAGGCAGGGTAGCTGCTGTTTGTTGGCTCTTTTGCCAACAACATATTTTCTCTCCCAATGACAAGTGTTTGCCTTGTCAGCAGGAGAGCGCTCCCACCAGCACTTTTTGTGGTAAGACATTTGTTTTGCAGGTAAGAGGATGGTTTAGTACCTCCAAACAACAAAAGTTTTGTCATACAATTGCCAGGGTAGACATAGCCTTAGTAATGATAAAGCATTTTCCATTCAAAGATCTCAAAGTACTTCACAGAAGTTAACAAATTGCAACAAACAACTCTCCTGTGACGTAAATGTGACAAGTTTTATTAACCCCATTTTACAGATGTGGAAACTAAGACAAATAAAGAACAGAGAGGCAGAGTAACATATTCCAGGTCACACAGCAAGCCATTGTCAGACTCATGATTAGAACTGCTAGACTCAGTCCCATGCTCTAACTGCTAGACCTGACTGCCTCCAATGATTAATCCAATTTGCCTCCCCAAATGTCTATCCTCTTCTCTTCCCAAAGCTAAATGCAAGAGAAAGCTATCAGTGGTGAGTGAGTTACCGACCGACATCCTACCACTCAGGTAGTGCGAAGGCGTCCTACACTTCAGGATCCTGGGCTGGAGCTCAGTTGAGAGGGAGAGCCCAAGTTCTCCTACCCCACCACAAACTGAACTAGACTATTTTCTGGTGTAGCCCAACTCAAGAAAGAGACTAGGCGGGCCATGGCTTGGAGTCACCGGGACTTCACCCCAAGGGGCTGCAGAGACGTGATCCTTGATTCGCCGGTAGGTGAAAGGTACGAGTGGCCCTCAGGTGATAACGGGCTACCGCGCCAAGGGTTTTGCCTGACTGCATAGGTAGACTCACACCCGAGCGAACAGAGGCCTAGATTAAACCCCGGACAGCGTGCCCTGGTCTTTAGTACGGGGGAGATCCCATCCTACATGGCCACGGGGGAGGGCTGAGGGGTTGACACACACACACACACAACAAAAAGTAAACATGGCAGTTTGTTTTAAAAATATATCTATCTGGATATAACCTTTTTAATTAGCATGCTCATGCATTTTAAAATCTTGGTGTAGTCACAGGACAAGTTGTATTTAATATGTATTAACTGGTAAAGATGAACCCTAGCAATTGCACTGTCCACGCTATGCTGTTAAATATGTTTTTAAAAGACACCTTTCAGCCTAGCCCAGACACACCCCTAGGGACTAACAATCCCATGGCTTGAAAAATCCACTCAACTCTGAAGATGAGAAAACTCTCCTCGGTGAATGTCAGCACCTAATCTGCAGCATCTAATCTCCCACATTCAAAAATTATATTTCTAGCCTTTATGGCTGTGATAAAGGTCTTTTAATCATAAGGTGTATGCACTGATCAGTCCCCACTGAAAGTTCCCACTGAAGCTAAAAGGATTAAATATGCCATGAAAGTTCCCACTGAAGCTAAAAGGATTAAGACAGAGCATACATAGTTCCCCCCATTGATATTAATGGGAGCTCTTCACATGGATGAAGAGGAAATAGAGATCTCATAAAATGTTGAACTGTAGAAAAAAAGAGTAGTAAAGCCACCCAGTCAAATTCACTGCAAGCTTCTTACCTGAGAGAAAAGCTACAGATACATAGGCTTTTTCAGCATCCACAAAACTGAAAACCTAAATTGAATTAACAGACTTAAATACCAAAACGAAGAACAAAGACCATGTATGCAGTAAAATAATTAAAGACACGCAGGAAGATTAGTACTTCTCCATTATAAATAACAATCTGCGGGAAAGGTTACAAAAGGCAATGGTTCATCATCATGTCCTCATAAATTAAATTTTTTCCTCACAATTTCTCTTTTGATGTATAAAATAATACCTCAGAACTCAAAACCTATTATTACATCCAATACCTGTTATTTAGGGGGAATAATAGACAACCATCCTCTACACAAAAGCAGATGGAAAATGCATTTAACTGTTTAAAGGAAAAAAGGCCAAATCCTGAATCAGGAATAGGTCTCACAAAAAAATAGTAATTTTGCCTGAATAAAGACTTCAATAAAATCGACCAATGTTAGAAAATTACTTAAAAGAAAACTTTAGAGCTTAAAGGACCTATTAGGTCAAATTTGGACAAGATATATCTGTTATAAAAATATTAACGGAAATATTTTAATCAGCTTACAGTTGTATAAATCCAACAGAGACAGACACTGGGACAGATTGATATTCAGCTTGTTAAACCAGCATGGCATTGTACATATGTTGATTTATGTGAGCTAAGACTCTGACAGTGGCTTAAAAAATATTATTCGTCCCTATGTCTCTTAGCCTGCCCCAAGAGCAAACAGTTCTTTTCATCCACTGGGTAACATTATTAATGTAGGGGAAACTGAGGTATGCATAGGGTCATAAAAATATTACAAAAATGCTCCCTTCAAATCACCTCTGCATTAGAGACCTCACTTCTTCAGATGCTATGGAGGACTCCACACAGTTCAGGATGCATGCTAGGGAAGGAAATGAGACTGGTTAAGCAGAGGAGGGAGTCATAGACTGGGCACTTCATTTCCCATCTGACTGCAGAAATAAAATGGTGACTCATCTTTGTAACTGTTGTCCTTCAAGATCTGTTGCTATATCTGTTCCAAGTCTAGTGTGTGCGGTGCTGTGCACACGGCTGCCAGAAGCTGCTACCCATTGGAGTTTTATCCTAGCTCCACCCCCTGGAATGGTGATGGTTCAGCACATCATTTATGACCCTGCCAACCCAATCGCCCCTCAGTTCCTTCTTGCCGGCTACTCCAACAGTGGGGAAAGAGGGTGGGTATGGAATAGATATGAGTAACACATCTCAAAGAACAGTTACAAAGGTAACTGTGTTTTCTTCTTCAAGTGCTTGCTCATATCTATTCCAAGTTAGATGATTCACAAGCCTTCCCCAGGAAGAGGGGTCAGAGTCAATGCATTGTTCACTCAAGTACTGCAGCATCAAAGGCCACACCATGTCTAGACTGTTGCACAATGATGTAGTATGACGTGAAAGTATGCATCAAGAACCATGCTGCAGCTCTACAGATTTCCTGAGAGGAACATGAGCCAGGAAATTGGTCTAAGAAACCTACACCCACATAGAATGCACCATCAGAGGCAGCAGGGAAACATTAGTAAGATGATAACATCTGCAGATGCATGCTGTAATTCAGGAGGAGATGTGCTGTTATGAGACTGGCAGCTCCCTCATCCATTCCACAACTGCCTGAGTTTACAGTGGATTTATGCAAGGGTCTTATCCTGTCAATGTAGCAGATGAGAGCTTTCCTGATATTGAATGAGTGCAGTCTTTGTTCCTATGAGCTCTGGTGAAAAGGTGGGAAAGAAAATGTCCTTGCCTTTGTAGAAGCTGGAGATGAATTTTGGGAGTAAAGCCGGGTGTAGGTGAAGTTAGATCTTGTTCTTGTGGAAAATAGTCTATGAAGGTTTCAACATAAGAGCGCTGACCTCCAACATCCTTCCGGTGGAGATGATGGCAAGCAGAAAAACCACCTTCCATGAAAGGTAAAGCAGCAAACACATGGCTAAGGGCTTGAAGCAGGGACCCATGTGCAACAAGAGGACCAAGTTGAGATTCCAAGCTGGTACCAGGTGCTAGACCAGCAAGTGGAGTCTATCCATGCCCAACCAGAGGGCTCACGAAGATGGAACAACTGTTCTCCCCTAGGTGGAAAGCCAAAATAGCTGAACTTTCAGCAAGAAAGTAACTAGGCCCTGGTGCTTCAGAGATACCAGTTATTCCAGCACCTGAGGGATAGAGACTGACAAGAGTTTCAGGTTATGCTGGAGACACCAACAGAAGTGCACTTATCCAGATATGGGAACCTTGTAGAAGGCTTTCTACTGCTGAGAAGGAACTGATGGACCTACTCAGAGCAAACCTGCTCCATGAGATTCAGCTATGGAGCCACCATGCCATGAGATGGAGAGAGTGTAGGTCCGGGTGGCGAAGGCGGCCGTGGTAAAGTCCAGGAGCAGAGGAAGTAGAATGGACAGTTGTACCAACAATTCCAAGAATTGGTGGGTGCCAGTGCTGATGGGCCCAGGCCAGGACCATAAGGATAATGTTTGC